GGCACCCCCTGCTCTGTGCCTACACGCCCTGCACTTCTCCACAGCTCTGGCCACAGCACCACTGCTGGGGCGACCGCTCGCTGTCGTCTGTAAGCTCCAGGGGAGCCCGGGTTGGGTCTTTCTCTTCGCTGCTGCCTTCCCAGCGCCTGGCTCAGTGGTGGAGGCATTGGAACCTATATATCTGTCCCCTGTTCCTGCCACGTGAGGAGGCCGTGAGGAAGTGGCCGTCTGCCAAAGCAGCAAGCAGGTTCTCGCCAGACACCAAATCCGGCAGTGCCTTGATCTTGGACTCTCCGGCCTCAGAAGTGTGAGGCATAAACATTGTTTTTGTATTATCTTCAGATAGAGTGGGGGTGGAGGGAGAAAGAGAGAGAAACATCGACGTGAAAGGGACACATCGACTGGTTGCCACCCACATGACCCCAACCAGGGCCGGGGACAAACTGCAACCGAGGTACGTGCCCTTAGTGGGAACCGAACCCGGGACTCTCTGGTCCGCGGGCCGATGCTCTAACCACTGAACCAAACTGGCCAGGGCTAAACATTTGTTCTTTAAAAATTAAAACTATCTGTGCAGTGACTGATCCAATCCCTTGTGCTCATGTAAATGCACAGGTGTCCCCTGGTGGCCTGGCTGCCTCTCGGGAGGGAAACGCCACCCCCCCACCCCCCCCACCCCGTCGGGCAGAGCAGCTGGCACCTGCCGGTTCGGAGAGCCGCTGCCTGTAACCAGCGTCCGTTTTCATAGTCTGGCCGCAGAAATGATCGCGATCAACAGGAACCTGTGGTGGACATTGCTTCGCTTCCTTCTCTGGCAACAGCAACCTCAGAAATCCCAGCCAAAGGCTTACTGGGTTTTGTACTTAGAGCTAAAGTTCACATGCTTCCTTGTTCCAAGGTCTGGGAGCCAGGTACAGGAAACGCAGACTCTCCGGGGAGGCTGCTCCGTCGCCTGGCGGGTCACCGAGCGGGCAGCGCGCTCAGGCCAGAGGCACACCCCGCACTGCTCACGCAGTCAGCGCCCACACTTCCGGGAGGGCTGCTGGAAACAGCACCCGCCGAAACCAGTGGGGACCCAGCGCTGAGCTGCCTCTGGGCTGCCTGTCTGCACCCCAGTCCCTTTTCCCGTATCCCGCTCACCAGCCCTCCCAGGACTTCATCTTGAGTCCCAGCGGCTGCCCGCGGCCTGCACGGCCCTGAGCCCAGCAGGACAGAGCCGGGCTGTGCCGCTCCCTGCAGTCCCCCGGGGCCAGCACGCCCGGCACTGTGTGAGCCCAGCCGGAATGTTCCATGACTGATGAATTTTGGGTCAACATATTCCTACTAATAAGCACTGCTACATCATCTGAGAGCTATCCTTGAAAGATGTTTTGTGGCTTAGAAAAGGCCATAATTAATATGGTTAGCATTCTGATAAAATTGGCTTCATAAGAAATGAATTAGAATGTCTCAATGTTTTTTTTCTTGAAGCTGGTCCCATCCTGCTTAATTCCAGTGAAATGTGATCAGTGTGGAGATTTTAAAAATTCAGGCGAGGACCTGTTACTTATAAACCACTAATAGATGTTATAAACATTACAGTGTGTCTATTAGTCAGGATGGGATATGCTATGCTGCAGTAATAGATACACCTTGAAATCCCAGTGGCTTAGCCCAGTGAAGGTTTACCCGTCCCTCATGCCTTGGTCCATCCTGAACTATGCCAAGGGTGTTGGAGATGAAGAGAGGGCTGGGGTTGCATGGGGTATTTCTGAAGGTCAGGCTCAGAAAGGCTGACATCACATCTGCTCACGTCCCATGGGCCAGAACCCAGTCACATGCCCCAAACTGCAGGAGGGGCCGGGAAGCACAGGAGCCCACGGGTACGGCTGAGCACCGACAGTCCCTGCCACGTTCACTACCCCCCACACTCCGGGGACGGCTACCCAGGGAGCACTCTCCCGGACCGACGCCTGACCACACCTTACTCCTCACAGAAGTCCGCTGAGGTCATGGCATTAGCCCCACTTCCCACATGAGGTTGATGCTTGCCGGTGTGAAGAAATGAACTGGAGGTTACACTTGTAGGTTGTGTGTGGTGGGCGTTCTAACCAGCTCTGTCTGATCCCAAAGCCTGGCTGGGCTTTTTTGCTAAAATGAACCAGATACAGAACCACCTCCCCACTTCACTGGCGCAGGTGTCCGCAGGCTCTCCACACCTCCCTGCTGTGACACGGGCGTGTGCACTGGGGGCAACACAACTGCATTTCCTAAAGCCTATCTGATAGGAATTCCTGTCCCTCCCCCGGTCGCCCTGTGTGTGATGCCAACCTCCGCCCACTATCCTCTCCTGAACCCCCGAAGTCGAAGAGCAGGCCCTGACATTTCCTAGTGAAAGACTCCGAATTCAGCCAGTTTCACAGGAACATCTCTTTTGTTCCTAGATTTTTTTCCATCTAGAAACCTTCCACAGACAAGTGACTGGGCCCAAGAAGCTCGGTGCCTTGAACTCCCCGGAATGCCCCGTCAGGCTGCCCAGGGATGGCAGCAAGGCCTCTCCCAGCTACCTGGGTCCCCACCTTGGCGACCTGTCCACCCTCTAGAACTGCCTGTCCCAAGACCCTCTGTGACACCTGCAGCCCTAAGGCTGACCGCCGCGTGCACAAGCCTCCTCTTGCCAAACACTGCACATCTGTGCAACTCCCACTAGTCGCCGGGGCCTCGTCAGTGCCACCGATGACCCGCACAGCTGTCCAGTCGCAGGAGAGGGAATCCTCAGGACTGTGCAGAGCTCCTTCCCTGCTCGTGCAGGGGTGGGGATCGATGTTAGGGGCTTGGTCACGCACCGTTCATGAAAAGCACTGCATCTCACAAGGAGCGAGCTGCGCGTCACTCCACAGCAGCCCCGTGGCCGGCGGGCCTCAGCTTCGGCTGCACCTTAGAATCCGTGACAGAGAAGGGGCCCAGCCCAGAGCAGCTTGTCCCAGTCTGGGATGCGGCCCAGATGTTAGGTTTTTATTTTAAAAATTTTAAATTTTCAGATAGAGTGGAGGTGGGGGAAGAGAGAGAGAGAGCGGTGTGAGAGAGACACGTTGACTGGTTGCCTCCTGCAGGACCCCGACCAGGGCCGGGGACCGAACCGTAACCAAGGTGCGTGCCCTTGATCAGAACTGAACCCGAGACTCTTTGGTCCACGGGCCGACACTCTGATGCTGAACCAAACCGGCCAGGGCCAGATACTGGGTTTTGAAAGCTCCCCCAGTGATCCTAAGGTGCAGCCACTTTGAGAACCACCTGGGGCAGATCAATATTTTGCCAGATACCAGCAGGGGCATGAAGAAGTGAGGGGAAAAACAGGATTTTTAGGAATTATTTGTGAGTCTGGCTCTAGGGCCCAGCATCCTGATGAATTCAAATTAGCTGAAGTCACCTTTAATTTTTTCCCCATGACACATGTAGCCAACATAAATGTCATTTAATTATTGAAAAATGTACACCCGGAGCTAAGTGGCGTAAGGCCGTCAGCCCGGAGGACGCGGGCTGGGATCAGGTGCTTTTCAAAGTTGTGAGAGACCATTGACATTTTTGTCCCAGCCTGTTGCTAACTAGCATATTTTTAATTAATTTATTTCTTATTTTTTATCCTCATCCGAGGACATTTTCCCATTTTTGTTCAGATAGAGTGGGAGGGAGAGAGGAAGAGAGGGAGAGAGAGAGAAACATCGACATGAAAGAGACACAACAACTCGTTGTCTCCCACACGACCCCAACCACGGCCGGGAATGAATTGAAACCGAGATACGCGCCCCTGATAGGAATCGAACCCATGACTCACTGGTCCTCAAGCCAATGCTCTAACTGCTGAGCCAAACCGGCCAGGGCCTAGTATATTTTTTAAAAAGCTGCAATCTGCCCTGGCCGGTTTGGCTCAGCAGTTAGAGCGTCAGCCGGAGGACCAAAGTCTCAGGTTCAATTCTGGTCAAGGGCACGTACCTTGGTCACAGTTTGGTTCCCGACCCTGGTCATGGTCATGCTGGAGGCAGCCAATCAATGTCCCTCCCCCCATCTGAAAATCAATGGAAAAATATCCTCGGCTGAGGATTTAAAAAATTAGTTAATTAAAAATAAAATAAAAAATAAAAAGCTTTGATCCTTTAAGATATGGGCAAAGATATATCTTTATTACATCAAGATGCCATGTGGACATTCCTGAGTATAATGATGGAACACGCCACTTTACAACAGTTGTCTGCGGCCAAGCCCCGGCCTGTCTGGGCAGCGCTGGGCTGGGTGGGCAGTTTGCTCCAGCATCAGGGGAAACGATTCTGATGCTTGTACAGGGGTCTTCAGTTCTGCTCTAGAAAACGTGCTCCAAATGTGCTTTATTGCAGCAAACTTGCAAAGAGGGAAAAGACTTGCCTTGGCAAATAATTTACGTAAAAGCTTAGAAACATGCTCAGAATCTGGTGTGGGCTCTGTGTTTCCGAACGGTGTCTGTCTCCACCCCCAGGCGCTGGGAGGTGGTTCTACCCTGACTCACCTGGTGGCATCTGAACCCCATGTTCTGCCTCTTTCTACAAATGACCAGAAAGCACAGTGTGTTCAGCTGGCTCCTTTGTTTCCCACAAAGTTTCCTCTTCTCTAAGATCCTCACACGGCCAGGAATTAGTCACTGAGGGAAGTAAATGAGGGATGTGGGACTGAGTCCTCGGACGGCAGGCCAGGACTTCCTTTCTTTCTTTTTTTATTTATTGATTTTAGAGATAGAGGAAGGGAGAGGGAGAGAGATAGAAACATCAATGAGAGAGAACATCAATTGGCCACCTCCTGCATGCCCCCCACTGGGGATCGGGCCCACAACCTGGGCATGTGTCCTGACCGGGAATAGAACTGATGACCTCTTGGTGCAGGGGTCCACGCTCAACCACTGAGCCACACCGGCCGGGCAGGCCAAGACTTTCTTGTTGTGTCTTTTCACGGGACACAATAAATACTCAGGACTCACAATGGTCTAACTCATAGATGATTTATTGCTTTAAGTAACTAAACAAGAAAGAGACAGGCTGTTGTTTTGGTCAAGACACCAGTTGCATCTACTTAAAGCCTTAACAATACCTTCTGAACAATATAAACACACGATAGCATATATGGGAAATGACTTGGCCAATGATATTCCGATTAAGATAGCACATGACAAGGGCATCTAACCAGTCGGGTTGCCCTGAAATGACAGAAAGAACGTGCGTTCACACGATGGGCTGAATACAAAACTTTAAAAAATTTTTGGCATTAATACTAACACAGAATACTTTCTTAGACGTTCTGCAAGAGCAGGTGCACACACAGAATTACCTCTTCATTTCCGGATCACCAGTATCTACGGGAATACTTTGAGAAAAGCCAGGAGGTGGGGCACCTCCCCTCCCCTAATGTCATTGTCTTTGCCAAAGCAGCAGGGTCCTGGGCTTTAGGTGAAGAGCAGCTGACAGGGCTCCAGGGGTTGTTACAATCACCAGGGAGCTGCAGCGAACAGCCAGGGGTGGACTCTGCCCCAGCAGGGTGTGGGAATAAACCCACAGGCCTGGTTTGTAGCCAGGGAGGCCCACGGACTTGACCTGACTGCTCCCTGGAGGCCCTGGGGTGGACACAGGCACTGGACGGTCCAGACCCTCCCACTGAGGAGTGGTGGAGCCAGGGCCGGGCCTTCAGCCCTGAGGTTTAGAAGAAATAACCTGACCTCTTGCATTCTAACACTGGGGCGTTATGACATGTTTCGAATGGATGTGCAGAAACCAACACTGTCAGGAAGCCAGCCCTTGGAGGGCCTGGGTGAGCTCACAGGAGAGGTCAAGCCAAGCCAAAGGGTAACACAGGACACCAGGGCGAACCAGCCCTGACCCGGCTGCCGGCACAGTGCCTGGGGTTGGCCAACTCATCTGGCTCAGTGCCAGCTGCTGAGACTCAGTGGTCTTCCACGGTCTCTGCAGCCACGTCCTCAGCACCTCCCTCCCCGGCCCCCTCCGCGGGACCCGAGTGCCCCTCGCAGCCCCCGGCCTGCGCCCCGCAGTGGCTGGCAGGACCGTTCTGCACGGCCCCGCCCTCCACGCAGGGCCGGCCGCCCAGACACAGCTGTTCTCCCGTGACCTCCTCCAGGGCTCCGTCCTGCTGCCGGCTCAGCACACAGTTTCCCACGTCGCCGGCCTTGGAAAACTGGGCGTCTGGATTCCTGTCGTTTTCTTCTTGTCTCTTGTCTCTGGCACTGAGTTTACCTCTGGATTTCCTCATCTGCCTGCTGTGCGTGTCTTCCCGGGAGAACCGCCACTGGAACTGAACAGCGGAGAGGACGGCGGTGAACGCGCGGACCTGAACCTGCCTGCGCTCACACCGCCTCTGCAGCAGGACGCGTTCCCAGCATCCCGGGAGGGCAGTGTCAGCCACAGCCACGCGCACCACAGAGGGCCTGCTCGGCCGCCAGGGGGATACTTCCAGGTGGATTTCAGGGCCTTGTGGGGGCCGAGGGGTACTTTCAATGGGCCCCAAACCAGAGGCCTGGAAAAGGAGATCCTGAAATCCTTTGAACAAGTAGGATGGGGAGGCGGCACGGCCTGCCTTCCCGCGAGCAGGGCTCGGAGCAGGCTGTGGATTACCCCGGGCGGCATCCTCGCACCGCAGCTAGGAGGGCACAGAATGTGGGGCGCCCGGGTGCCCCTCCAGGACTGCTGTCTGCTGACCGCACCCACCACCTCACTGAAGGTCTCACTCCCTTCCTGGGGCAACCTACAACCGAGGACTGGTCCAGGCGGGGTACAACGGCCCTTCCTCCCTTATCCCAACCAGGGACAACTCTGAAAGGCCAGCCCAGCTCCAGAGCTCCCCGGAGGGTTGTCTGAGGCCACTGCTGAGATCGCATCCCAGCTCACCCCGCCCCTGCACGCCTGCACCCCGCTTTCCCCACAGGCGGTCCTGAGGGCACTCCCCCTGAAAACTTCCACCAACCAAACCTCTCTCAGACCCCGCTCCCCAGAGAGCATTTCCCCGAGGGACAGGGACGTCAGCAGAGACTCGGAGAAGACCCAGGCCATGCAGCCAACCCTGAGCCGTGTGAGACCCAGACCCGGGGACACTGTGGAGGGGCCCGCACACGTGTAGTCCCAGCTGCGCCCTCCCTGCCTCACTCTGCCCGCAGCGGCCGCATCCACATGGGGACACAATGCCAGCAGACTCCAAGGTTGGTGACTTGCTTTTCTGTGAAAGCAAGATCACTTCCCTTTTCGTAAAACTCAGATGATAGTTTACAGCGGCTGTGCGGGCCACATGGCCTCTGCCGCTGCTACAGAAAAGCCGTCGTAGCTAATACGGAAACAAACGAGCGTGACTGTGTCCAATAGCGCTTCACCCACAGAAACAGTGGCCGGCCGGGTTTGGCCCACGAGCTGTGGTTCGCCAAGCCCTGCCGTGCAGGGCATTGATATGGTTTCAGTGATGTGATAATCCACGTCACGGGTTTAGCGTGGTGCCTGGCACATAATATACCAGATACGCTTGCTGTGACCATAACTGACACCAGATTTAAGTTCCGTCAGGTCAGGGAAGCCATCTGTCCTGTTCCCTCCCGTGACCCTGGGGCACAGCACGGCGCCCGGCGCAGAGCGGGCACTCGGTTTTCTGTGTTTCAGGGTGAACCAGTTCTGCGATTCTCGAGTCAGAACACAGCTTGGGGCTTCGTGAGGAGGGACCAGGGCATCTGCACGTCATTTCTGGTTGATCTCCAAGAAGAAATTAATTGAAGGAAGAAAAAGAATGGAAAACACTCCAAGTCCTGCTGAGTCTGCCGGCGACATGAACCGTCCCAGAGGAAGACGGTTTAGCAGTCTGTGCACTTGGAATCAGTCTGGGCAAACGAGCTTGAGCAGACATGGGCACACTGGAGGGTGTGAGAACAATACCCTGGCAGATCTGGGGAAACGGGTGCTCGAGTTTACAAATGAGGCTGCAGTCTGTGGGCTAACGACTCAGTGAGCACTGCAGCCTTTTCTTCCCCTCCCCAAACATCAAGGGTCCCCGCCCCTGGTCTTCCTGAGCAAAAGCCCCTCTGACCCCGGTCATCTGCTGCCTCAGGGTGCAGTCCACTCTGGGCGGGGACCCGTGGAGTCAGATGCCAGGTGGGTGCACTCGGGGAGATGGCGGCCACGGGATCTTCGGGACACGCCAGTCGGGAAAGCACAGAGAACGAGAGAGAAACCCCGGGGGAGAGAGAGCTGGGCACACGGGGCCAGAGTCAGGATCCGGCTGCAGGGAGTGTTCTCGCCAGGAAGAAGGAGTCAGGGGACTGGATTCTGAGCATGGACCGGGCCACCCTGCAGGTGCGGCTCCAAGACCCATGGTGCACAAGGGGTTCAGTTTAAGGTCCCACCACAGCCATTTCTTTCTCCTTTGGTCACACCACGTTGAAATGAAGGGAGTCTTCGGTTCTGACGGCCCATTGCTGGGCTGGAGTGGGGACCCAGGAATGCAGCTGTACCATCTATGGAAAATGGTTTCTTAAGGCTTTAGCACATGGTAAGTCACTGAGTGCCTTGCTAGGAAAAACCAAAAATGTGCTATGTAAAGTTTTAGAAATCTGCCACCTTTGCAGAATTTTCAATGGCAGAGATCTATTTCCCCACATAAAACAGTTGCCGAAACACTCACAGGGTTCTGAGACTGAACACATCGAAGGATCCTTGGGGGGAACACCTTCGCACAACACTGGTAAGTCTGAACAGCCCATCGAAGAACAGAAAAAGGAGCAAAGTGCAAGCTGAGGTCAGGATTTAACATCTATCCTGTCCTCCCCCCACCCTCCCCGCTAATCCCCAGACGAGTTCGCCTGCAAAGTTTGCCCAGATGCTCCTTTTTGGGGATTCTCTCCCTCTCATCCTCTAGCTGACAGACTTCCCTTTGGGGATGGTTTGAGCTTCTCTGTAAACCATGCGTTTCCAACAATGGGACCCCTCTGCAGGCAAAGTCGTGCCTCAGACCCCAGTGGGGCCCAATCAGCCAAGACGGAAGCAGACATCTCAGCTCCGGAACCACAGAGGCAGGACGCCGACCGGACCTCAGAGCCCGTGCTGCTGCCTACGACGTCAACCCTGTGTGGCTCTGGGGCACAAGCCACTGTGGTTCATAACTGCTGCCGCTACAACGCCATTCCAGCCCAAGTGGAAGAGCCTTAAAGAAAAACCCATGTCCCCCAATAGAGCCTCTGCATTTCTGCATATTTTTAGAAAGACACCAGTTACACCTGCCTGTGTGCAGTACTGTGAGAGGCAGTCAGCTGTCAGGGAAGTCGGAGGAAGTTTTACTTTTGCTAAAAACCTGGTGAGATTGCTTTGGCTGAAAGACCCTAAATACTAAATCATCATGGTAGCTGAGACCCTGGTTCAAATCCTGGCTCTGGCACTTGTTAGCTTTCTGTCCTTGGGCAAGTTATTAATCTCTCCAAGTCTCAAGTTCCTCATCTCTACAATAGTTGTCTCAGCTTCCAGGGCTGCAGCGCACACCCCAGGGGCCTGTGGATGTGAACAGCGCCCCCTGCCGTTGGGTGGTATATACAACCTAGGCGTTTCCACCTGTGCCTCATCCCATCCTTGGCACTTGCTATGTACTAATGCAAACCCAGGGGCTGCTCTCGCTGCATAAACAACAGAAGGTCCACAGCTCCTCTGGATGCCTGGCCATATCCAGTTTCCAGAAGACGACCACGCTGTGTCAGTCTCCGACAACAGGAGGACACAGACTGTGGAAATGGCCTGTGGCAGGCACACCAGACACTTTCTCCAGGAATCTGCCCCGCCCGCTGGGCAGCGGAGGATTTAGGGCTGTCAGAGCTGAGCTGGATGGGAACGGTTCCAGCCAATGTTTTCTGCCCTTCAGAGTAATCACAGAGAAATCGCCAGGCCCAGTGCCTTCTGGGGCTGCACTGTGTTCTGTGTCCTCGGATGGGTTTGTAGTGACGTCGCTGACTCTCCATGCTGCCTGGGCCTCCTGGTCCACCACAGCTGTCCCCGGCGCTGCAGCCAGACACCCAGGAGGCTCTGACTGGAGTCTTCCCTTTTCCTCCTTCCCTCCTTTGCAGAGACATTCCCATGATGCAGGGAAGTAGCAGTGGCCAAAACTCAGGATCTGTTTAATCTAAAAGCTACCTGTCCCGAGCTGCAAAGGCAGATGCCTGCAGAACACCTGTCTGGGGAGAACAAACACATACCAAGGTGCCCACTGTGTGCCTTACACAGTGACAAGGTTTCCCATTTCCCTGAATCCCCAAAGCAATACTCTCAATAGACACTGTTAGAGCCATTTTATACGAGCACTTAGAGGTTCAGAGAGGTTAGTAACTCGCCTAAAGTCACACAGCTAGAGCAGAGCTAGAATTCAAACGCATCCTTCTCTGGCTCCACACTACCCTTCAGCCTCTCATTCTCGGTGGGTGACAGGCTCTAGGCTCTTGCCCTAGACAGAAGGGAGGAGGCAACACAGCCTCGGATGGTTCAGCCCGACGCATGAGTGCTTCAGGTTTCAGATTTGACCACGTCCAGATGCCTCTGATACATCGGTCATTAGGCCGGGTGGTCAGCTAATGGAAGTCCAGATCTACAGCCACGAAAGACTCTTTGGTTCGGTTTATTAAAAACGAGTATCCACACTGAAGCTCCCCGCCCCAACAGGCCCATTAAAAAAAAAACCACAATAATGACCCAATTTGGATGGAGGTGCACAGGGAGGCTGGACAAGGTCCTGAACGATTCAACGAGGACCCGAGTGGGCATCAGAAAGCACTGGAGGGTCCTTCGCCCGGATCTCTCGCCCACCTGACTCGGGCCGGGGGCGGGCGGGCGGGCGGGAGGGAGGGAGGCTTTGGTTTCTAACAGGCTCCCAGCTGAGGCTGACACCGCAGGTCCAGGGCCACCATCTCAGAACCACCAAGCTAAGAAAGGCACCTGGGTAGAGTCCAGCCGTGAGAACCGAGAACACAGCCCCAGGCCCCAGCCTGCCATCCGCAGAAGGGCTTCCTGTCTCCCTCTCCCCACTGCCACACCTGCTCCCAGGCTTCTCTTCCTCCTTTAGGCTGGGGACAGTCGGTCTCCAACAAACAACAACATTTGCTCCCGATCCCAAGGCTCAACAAGAGGACAGCTCAGAAAGCAAGGAGAGGAGAGGCCGGGATGTGGCAGCCGCAGGGACGGGGCGGCCTTCCGGGTCCCCGCTCTGAGGGGAGGTCGGTGACCTCCGCACTTAAACGCGGGCGGCCCAGCTGGGAGGACGGGTCCATACCCGGAGCGGTACCAGGGAGAGGCTGAACTCCAGGCACAGCTGGCTGCTGGTGAGAGGCTGTGCCGCGATGCCAGCCTCCCCGAGCACCGTGTCTGGCCCTGGGGTGTGCCGATGGCGCCTGAACCAGGAAAGATGCCAAACGGCCGCCCGCGTCAGAAACAACCGTGGGAAGGAAACCCTTCCCGCTGCAGCAGCGTGCTCCCGAGTCTGGTCAGCAGGGGCTAACGGATTTAATTCACACTTTTTTTTGTTTTTGTTTTTGTTTTTATCCTCACCTGAGGACATTTTTCCATTCTTTGTGCAGGTAGAGTGGGAGGGAGAGAGAGGAACAGACAGAGAGAGAAACATCGACGTGAAAGGGACACATCGAGTGGCTGCCACCCGCACAACCAACCAGGGCCGGGGACAAACTGCAACTGAAGTACGTGCCCTTAGCGGGAACCGAACCCGGGTCTCTCCGGACCGCAGGCCGACGCTCTAACCGCTGAGCCAAACCGGCCAGGGCTAATTCACACGTTTTAACAGCCGTCTGTTATCTGCCTCCACTGCAGCTAGGTTAGCAGAAGGAAGACTTGTCGGTGTCGCAGAAACCACCTGGCTGTCACCTTCCGAGGAGCTGCGTATTTCCCTGGAAAGCCACACTCACACAGAGGTTTCTTTCACGTGCTGAAAAGTCCCGATTAGAGCATGTTGTCCACTATGCTGATTAAAAGAGGTGTAAATATGCTTTGTCCTCGGTGTGTTAACCTTGGGATTTCTTTTCTTAAATTTCAATGGTAGACATAATAGGCCTGTCCTGGGCTCAGGATTTTGATTACTCATTCACGGATTCCACAAATATCGGCCGAGTACCCACTAAAAGCCAGGTACTGGGCACGTAACAGTCGGAGAAAAGGTCTGTGCTCCCAGGACTGAATCTGCAGGAGAGGACTCGCTAGTGAGCGCACGGTGAGAGCAGAGCTCTGGCAGAGGACGTGGATCTCCCTGAGAAGGTGCACAGGAGAGTCCCCGGCGGAGGGAACGGCCAGCGCCAAGGCCCCGAGGCAGAAGGAGCACGAGGCCATGGCGGCCGGAGCAGACAGGAGGGCTGACCACATAGGCCTGTGGACCGCAGTACAGATGCCCATCTTATCTTTTTTTTTTTTTTTTTTTTTTTTTTTTAAGAGAGAGGAAGGGAAAGGGAGAAAGAGATAGAAACATCGATGAGAGAGAACATCGACTGGCAGCCTCCTGCATGCCCCCCACTGGGGATCGGGCCCACAACCTGGGCATGTGCCCTGACTGAGAATCGAACCAGCGACCTCCTGGTGCATGGGTCGATGCTCAACCACTGAGCCACACCAGCCAGGCTCTTTTTTTCCCTCACCCGAGGATATTTTTCTACTTATTAGAGTGGGAGGGAGGGAGAGAGAGAGACAGAAACATTGACGTGATAGAGCCACATCGACTGCCTCCCGCATGACCCAACCAGGCCTGGGGATGAACCGCAACAGAGGCACCTGCCCTTGACCGGAATTGAACCTGTGACTCATTGGTCTGCGGGCCGACGCTCTAACCGCTGAGCCAGACGAGCCAGGGCAGATTTCCTTCTTATCTTAATGCAGAGCTCCAGACCGTTTTAAGCGGCAGAGTGACATGAGTCAGTCAGTTTTTTCGAACGTTCGCATTGGCTCTGAGGACAGAACGCGTGAGGGACACGTGTCATCAGGAGGCGAGTGGCCGAGGCAAGCGAGGACCGGAGACGCAGAGGGTTCCGGAGACCCTGGCACCTGGGAGAGACAGGTTTCAAGGACTGCCCGAGGGGGGGGGGCGGAGAGTCGAGGACGACTCCCAGGTGGCGGTGCCCTGGGTGGGTGGTGATCCATTCTCCAAGGTAAGGGGCGCAGGCCAGATGGGGAGGGGCGAAGTCATGAGTTGCTCTGAGTTTGCTGAGCGGCCACAGGACAGGTGAGCTGGGCCTCGGGGAGAAGCAGGGCTGAGCACGCAGACACAGGGCTCGTGACAGAGGCGATGAGAGATGTTCTCACAGGGGGGCCGGCAGAGACTCTCCAAGGACGTGGTAGGAGAGTGAGGGAGCACAGGGCTGGCCTGAGCCCCGAGGAATCTGGCGGAGAACCCCAGGGATGGTGGGCAGAGCCAGAGGGAGAGGGCAGCCCGGCCGGTGTGGCTCAGCGGTTAGAGCATCGGCCCGCGGACCAAAGGGTTGTGGGTTCGATTCCCAATCAAAGGCACGTACCTGGGTTGCAGGTTCAAACCCCAGCCCTGGTCGGGGTCATGTGGGAGGCGGCCCGTCGATGTGTCTCCCCTCCCCCCCCTCCGTCTCTAAGAATCAGTGGGCAAGCACCCTCCGCTGAGGACTGACAACCGGCAAGGAGGCAGAGGGCAGCCACGGCGTCAGCGCGGCAGGGAGCTCAGGCCCCGGGAGGACCGGATGGAGCTGTCACCACCGCCACAGTCACGGGGGCCCACAGGCCTGTGGGAGCAGAACCCCTGCCTGAGTCAGCTGAGGCGCGAATGACGGGGACGAGGAGACAGACAAGACGTTTGCTGCGAAGCCCCCTCTCCAGAACCCCACTAGTGAGGGGTCCCCATAGGTCACCCCAAGAACGAGTGCGCGGCACCTGCGACCCCTGGAACGAGTCGGGAACAGATACGCACGTAAAGGGAACAGCCAACCCGTGTCTGTCTTGTGGACGGGGCTGGAGGTTTCTCCTGCGGGCAGAAGGCCTCTGCTTCCTCGCACCAGCCCTAGAACGCGACCTCTCCATCTCCGCCCGCGCGTCTCCGTGGCCCTCGGCAACGCGTGGCCTGCGCCTTCGCCAACCCTGCGTGTCCTCCGTGGGAGCCCCGGCAGAGCAGGAGAGCAGCCGGGAACAGCCAGCCCCTCCCTCTCGCACAGGTGGAAGCAGGTGTCTTTTGGTGGCCGGTGGAGACTTTGCCTGTGCTGTTGACTGTCACCGTGACTGCACCGTCCCCGAGCCTACGGCTGGGCCGCCCAACAGCAGCCTCGGCTGACCCCTCTCCCAGCGGCGCCTGACTGTTCCTGGTGGTTCGTGGTGGCTTGGCAGTGCCTATGCCCTCTGCTGCTGTCACCTGTCACATCGGTGCACCAGGGCTGGGGGACACACCGTCCTCTGCACCCCACCCATCTGGCTTCAAGGCGCCATTTCCTTTCATCCCACAAACGGGTTACCCCTGGATTTGTTGGCTGGTGAGGGGCTGCTCCAATCTGTTCACTTGCTTGGGGCTCCTGTCTGGGCTCTGTGTCCAAAGAACATGAGGATCCGAGACTGGGGAGCACGGGAGCTGGTGTCAGGAGGGAGCAGGCCCTGCCAGGGAGCATGGCATTGGCCACCGAAGGTGGAGCGAGCTGGCTCGGGGGTGCCTGGCCTGGGCTTCGGCAGGTTCCCTCACCTCAGCTGCCTCTTCCTGGGCACCTGGTGAAACACTCGGGGAAGAGCACCCACTGCTGTGAAGCTCGGGGTGCGGACGTCGGTCCATCAACACCAGGGAAGGGCTCGGGCTCGACTTCACCGAACGCAGGGAAGCGTCTGACAAGGGCTGCAGCCTCTCAGCGCCACTGTTTCCCTGACGGTTCTTGTAACGTCCCCCGAGGGAAAGGGACCCTGGTGACCGCAGGGCAGGCTGATCTGAAAACACTGCCGCACGCTAAGGCGACCTCTGTCCAGACCCACAGGCTTTCGGGACGGGGCCTATCAAAACGGGCCCGTCTGCCAGGATCGCCGAACCCGAGTCCTGAGGGACCCGGCGGGCAGGCCAGGGCGCCAGCCAGCTCTAATGACATGAAGACACAGAGACGTGGGCCGAGCCCGAGCCCGAGCCGTCCCCCACCGGCCTCCGTCAGACTGCAGCTGACTTCATGCCCTATTTTTAGCCCAGCGGGACTCTGGCAGGCTCCGTGTCTAGAGCCGCTCCCTCCACTCCTCGGGCTGCCCAGCAGGACGCTGGCAGACAAGGCCCTGCAGTGCCCTCACCTGTCCCATTCTGGCAGCTTCGGCCGGCTCGGCTTGCCCAGGGGCTCAGCTGTCCTCGGCTCAGAGCTGCCAGCCGACTGCTGGGACAGACCCGTGTGCAGGTGACGCCGCTGGAGACACCGAGGGCAATCACAGGCACTCACCTTCGACTCCTTCCTCTTGATTTTCTGAGGTAGACACGGTCTCTGAAGAAAGACAATCTGCTTGGTGGACACCTTTCCCTCCCTGCAACACACACGGGGCTGAGCGTGAGTTAGGCCGAGCTGGGGGAGCCCACACCCCAGCACCGCCGTCCCCAGCTTCACCACGGCTGAGCACCCAGAGGGGAAGCTGCCACTGGACAGCGAGGTCGGCATTAGGAAGCCCCCTCTCCCGCCCCGGGCTGTCCGCCTTGGCTTCGGGGGGCTGTCTCAGGGGCCCCACAAAAGCTTTGTGGGTGTCCCTGCAAAGTCAGCTTCCCGACTAGAAACTCCCTCTCCCTGACGTGAAACAGCAGCTAGAGTCTTGACCAAATGATGACAGACTGGCTTTCTAGGGGGTCTCGGGGGGAAGGGGGGTCTGGCCGGCCCAGGTGAGCAGGTAGATGAGGACCTGGGTGAAGAGCCCTGCCCATCGGCCGTCCCAGGGGCAGCGGGTGGAGGGCCGGCTGCCTGCAGGCCCGGCTACGGCCTGATTCGCCCTCCCGGGGCAGCAGGGCCATGTCACTCCTGCAGGCACAGGGATGAAGGCCGCAGCAAGGCAGGGAGTGGCGTTAACCAGGCTGGTGCGGGACGCCGCTCGTTTTGATGGCCCAGTGCATGTCTCTCTCCGGGAAGGCAGGACCCCACGGAGCTGCCGTGAGAGGTGAGAGGAATACCATGATGGGGATCACTGTTCTCTCCCCCGCCTCCACCCTTCCGATCACTTTCTTAATCTCCACTTTGCAAATGTCTTCTCTGAGGAGGCCACGTGTCACTACACGGAGCGTGGGGGATAAGGCGGGAGAGGACTAATGTTCCCTCTTTTATTCCGGGCTGGGCCGGATGATCCCACACGTAATGTCTCATTCAGGCCTCCCCAGCACTCAAGGACTGGGGCAGGCACCTTGACACAGGAAAGGAGAGGTCGTTCAAGGAGCAGCCCGGGAGTGCACAGCCAAGGTTCAAGCTCAGATGTGCCTGGTTCAGCGTGTTCTCCCACCCACCAGGAGGCCATTTAAAGCACCGGGCAGTGGAGGGTTACAGAGAATTGTTTAGCAGGTGTGACTGGAGACAGACAGAGACCTGTCTGCAGGCTCTGGGCTTAGATCAGAACCAACTGGGGATTCACGTTCAAAGACATTCTCATCGTGACTCCCGTCCTCTGGTTTTTGGACTGATGGGGGGTGGGGGGGAGCAGGCATTCTTCCATCTTACGGACTGGGAAACAGACTCAAAGAAGCTACCAAGGTGGCAGACTCAGGACCAGGGTTCAAGTGTGCAGGCTACAAACCCGGGGTGTCTTCTACTCCGCGGCATCGCCCTGTGCCCATAGGAGTCTCGGCTGAGCAAGACTATGTCGGCTCCCAGTGGCCAAGGGGCCCCAAGGTGGCTGCAGACTGGGCTCTGGGGCGGCACGGCCCTGCCATCTCCCCAGATCACAGCCTTGCCCCACACTGTTCACCACCGACCCCGGGCAGGCAGAGACTGAAGGCCACAGGCAGGGGCACCCCTACAGGGGGTAAAGAGGCGGCCTGGTATATATAGGAGAGGGAGCCCTTGATTCTCCAACTGAGGTTCCAGTCCCAGGTTCTGCTCCTTAGTGGTTGTGTGACCTCAGGTATACGCTTGAGCCTCTCTGAGCCTCAGTTCTGGCATCTGTAAAATGGGAATCACATCTATGTTTACAGCATAGTTAGGAGGACTAGTTTAGACAGCAAACCCAGATGGAAGGCCTTTTAGTGTTGGGGTGACTGGGACAAGCCCACAGCTCAAAGGGTGGTGGGCAGAGCCGAGGGTGGACAAACCACCACGGACGTGAGATCGTAAGGAGCACAAGCAAGGGCCATGACTCCAGGGCCTCACATCTTGGTGGGCTGCTGACCAGCATCACGATCATGGGCGGGTCCTCCCCTCCCTGGGCACACCTTCCTCAGCTGTAAAATCAGTTTAATGTTTTAGAATCCACCTCATAGGATCTTTGAGAACTAAACGAGGTTTTATATACAAAGTGGCTGCCTAGCCTGGCACAGGCCACCTAGTAAGTGCTGGATTTCTTTTGCATCTGAGAGCCCTGGTCCTCCTCAGTCCAGCTGGCTCCTCTCTGACATGCTGGGCAGTCACGATTCGCTGGCCAAGGCTCCCCATGTGGGAAGGGGGTGCAGGCGAGAGCTCGGGGGGCTTAGGAATCTGAAGTCCCAGCTCTGCCACTGCCCCCCCGGAGAGTGGGTGCAGCCACACCAGCCTCACGGGCTTGTCGCAGGGTTAAGTCGTGTACACGAAGCGCTTCCTGGGAGCAGGGCCCAGCACGGAGCACCTGTTCAGGACGACGACCGTTACCTGTCAGTCTTGACGACGGGCGTTGGTAGCACACAGGTGAGCTGCCAGCCGTAGGCTGCCAGTGAGTTCAGCAGGGGCACGTAGTCTGTCTGCACCTCGACGCCCTAGGGGAGAAAGGCCGCTGTGAGGGGTGCTGCTGCCTCAGGCCGACCCCGCGTGTCCAGAGGGAACAGTTCACCCCACCAACTGCACAGAGCAAAGAGGTGCGGTGGCCCCAGCTCGGAGGCCCGGCTCCGATGAAGCTTCCAGCCCTGGCCCCATCTCCGTCCGCACCGTTGGCAAGGAATCCGAGCCCAAGGATTAGTCCACTCATTGTGTTTTATTCTCGTTTCATCGAAGAAGCACAATCACCTCTCCTGAAAGGGATTCAGGGCACGTGACAATGCACGCTGCTCTGGACGGTTGCAGAGTGTGGGGAGGGGAGTGAACTCACAGTTGACAGATGACTGAGTCATTTGCATCCAGCCACACGCACACACGCACACACATGCACACATGACACACAAGCACACACAAGCACACACATGCATGCACGCACACACACGCACACTTGTGTTATGCAGCCTGCCATAAAAAGGTAAATGAATGCTTGCCCATGTTTTATTTAAAATCAGTAAGGGAGACTTGCCCAACATTTGCCTTTGACTTTAAAAGCTCAGTCCTGGGCCCACAGGGAGAGCACCCGGTGTGAGGCCCCTGCACAGTCTCCACATTGTGCTCTCCCTCTGCCTCGGGCTCCTTGCTAACACTGAAGTGCAGTCCCTGGCCCTGTCCTGTGTCCACACGGGACTCCCCATCCCCGTAAGGTTGGCTGCTGAGCATCTCAGCATGTATCCAGATTCCTTCCAGCCCCGCAGCCACGCGAACTCATTCAGCAGGTATTTCGAAGCCGTGGTGGTGCAGTGTGGGTGAAGGCACTGTCCTGCGGCGGGAGTTCACGGTCCCGCAGAGGCAATGGCACATCCACACAAGAGCCCGAAATACAGGATGGCCCGCGGGCAGGGCCACGATGCTTCAAGGTCAACAGAAGGGGAGGGACACAGGCCGTGCCCAAGGCAGGCTTCCCGGGGCTCAGGGCTGGGCAGAGGGCACTCCAGGGAGAACTCGGCCAGGGACAAGTTAAAGACCACGCTGGGCTTAGATCCCCAAGGAGGGTGGGCTTAACTGGGGGCGGTGCTGCACAGAGGGGCCAGCGTGGTGAGTGGCTGTCCTGCTGCAGGCCTTGGGGACTAGACTCAGCTCATCTGGCTGCCCTGGGCTGGAGGGGGGGAGCGAGATGAGGGGAGCACCAGCCCTGCCTCCTCAAATGGGCTTTAAAGCTCCCCTCACCGAGCACCCATCCCGGCGCGGCCACCAAGCCCCTGGTCAGCTGGCAACACTGACACAGCTTCTTCAACTGTACCAGAGAAGTCTGGGCCTATGCCAGTGGTTCTCAAAGTGTGCTCCCCGAGTCAGCAGCATCAGCAACACCCGGGAACTTGTTAGAAATGCAGTCTCGGGACCCAGCCGAGACCGACCAGACCAGGCCCTGTGGGGTGGGACCCGGCATCTCTGTTGCAGAGCCCCCCTGGAGTTCTGACGCAGCGAGTCTGAGACATCTGCCTCGGTAACCCGTGAGGTCTCGGCTGGGGCAGTCTGTGGTCTGAGGCCAGCATCCATCAGCTGTCACTCAAACCTTCCCTTCCCATCCTTCTCCACGTGAGAAGAGAGGAGGGACGTGGAAGGATCAGCCTGTCAAAGGGAATGGAGGGGAGAAGGGTGGGGAGAAAAGAAGGCGGGGGGGGGGGGAAAGAGGAAGAAGAAAGGAAGTTAAAGGAGGGGAAGGAGGAAGGGAGGAAAGGCGGTACAGGTGTGACCCGTTTATTTACGGGAAAGGGACAGGAGAGCCCGTATTCTGGCCCTGTCCCCATCAGGCTTGAGATGGCAGCAAATGACGCAGCACCCCCCTTCTGCCTGGCCCCCTGGACTCACGGGGACCTCCCTTCTGGACAGGCACCGGCCAGTATCCCTCCTACTGGCACCTGCTGTGGCTGCCTCACCCGGAGAAGCCCTGCCCCCAGCCCTGCTCCGGATGCAGAGAGGACGGGAAATGTTCAATCCACACTCTCAAGCTTTGCGAGGTTATGATTACTTGGGCCTATCAAGAATAACCTTCCCACTTTATCAAGCACTGTGACAAACCCGCCACAATCAGACAGTAGCCATGGCAACCGGGACAAGCTTTGGCGCCTCACAAAGCCCTGCGTGGCAGAATGGAGTCCTTTCATTGGTGACTGTGCCCCAGCTGGGTTTTCTCCGAGGGCACCCAGGGCGGCAAGGCAGTGGCCACCCTCTGCTACCGCCTGACCTGCGTGCTCAGCAGGCCTTGTAGGCGCTGCTTCTGTTTTGCTCTATTGTACTGCATTTTGTCACTACCTTAAAAAGAAAGCCTGCAGGATTTCTCCCAAACAGGTTTTCCCCTCGGGCAGGGGATATTAGCCAGAGGGTACAGACTCATAAGACTGAAAGGGAAAGGGAAACCCAACAAGACCTGTGAGAGCGGAGGGTTCAGCCGCAAGTGTTACTATCTGCTGTCACGTGGCAGGGGGTGAGCTTCCGCTCCGACTCTCCCACTCCTCCGACTGTTGGGGCTGGTCTGGATGTAATTAACGTTCAGCATGTTTTCCATGGCACCTATCAAAGCTGGCTGGCGTATTATCAACACAGTGAGACGGCACGTCTAAAACAGGACAGGAGCCCCATGCCGTCCGTGGAGGGTGCTTTCAAGTCCATTAGCGGAGAAAGATGATAGGAGACCTGGATGCAGGGAAGGTTCTCTTTGATCTGCTTCCCCGCGACACTCCAGCGAGGACAGAGCCGCAAACAGCACTCCAAAGCCAGCCTGCTTATCGAGCGAAAGGACGTTTCCTTCCCGGAGCAGGAGCAGAAACGTTAATTAACTCTCCACTCTCCTGTGTGTGGGTGCGTAATCTCCCATCACACCTGGAGTGGTGGAAAAAAACAAAAAAACAGAGCATGTCCTCTGGTTCTCCAACTCGTCTAAAAGGAATCCGTCTGTGTTTATGGCTCTTCCCTTTGTTCCCTGCCATTTCTCTGGTGTGCAAATCAACGAAAAGAGACAGGCATCCAAGGGCAACTTCTCCCCTCACCCTCCCCAAATTACGACAGCGGCGTGTAGCTTACGAAGAAATGCATTTGTCTTTGGATTATTTTTTAAAGACCCTCCATGCAGAGACGTAACGGGAAGGGAACACACTGGACCAGGGAGGAAGTTTGTAATCCTGAGTGTCAGGGCCCTTCCCTTTTCTCCTACTTCAGCTGGTGGAAGCAATGTGGGCAAAAGGCAGCTTAAAAGAGAAGACCTGACTCCTTCTATGTGGCTGTAAACGGAGAGAGGACTAATTCCCCGTATCTGCAGTGTGTGGGGCCCGCTACGGGATGGTCTCCACGCCTGAGAGTAGTGACTGGGGACTGTTGCCTGTGTTCCCCACAGCTGCAGGCTGGCCCCAGGTTTCCACCAAGAGGGCACCTGAGAAGGGCCTATGAAAAACACCTGAGCATTTTTGGTAACTTGCTGCCAAACATGCCTGCCCAACGCTATCAGCAGGCTACATTTATGCTGCTATTTCTGTGCTGATCAGTTTTAGATGTCTGTTGATTTTCTACCATGGGAAATAAAGGCTTATCACTCCCATACCTACTTCTTACTTCCTCTTTGTTAGTACCCCAAATGGTTATAATGTGCCTTTTTTGTTGTTGTTGTTAATCCTCACCTGAGGTCATTTTTCCATTTTTTGTTCAGATAGAGTGGGAGGGAGAGAAAGAGAGAGGAACATAGATGTGAAAGGGACACATCAAGTGGTTGCCACCTGCACGACGCAACCAGGGTCGGGGACAAATTGCAACCGAGGTGCGTGCCCTTAGCGGGAACCGAGCCCAGGTCTCCCTGGACCACAGGCCGACGCTCTAACTGCTGAGCCAAACCGGCCAGGACCCGAGGATATTTTTACATTGGTTTTTAGAGAAAGTGGAAGAGAGGGAGGGATGGGGAGAGAGAGAGAATCTTCGATTTGAGAGAGACATATTGACTGGCTGCCTCACACAGGTGCCCCAACCAGGGCTGGGGATCGAATCTGCAACCCAGATACATGCCCTTGACCGGGAAACAAACCTGTGACCCCTCTGAGAGAGGGCCTACACCCCCACCACTAAGCCATACTGACCAGGGTATAATGTACTTTTAATTAATCAAAAGTAGGTATTTTTGTTATTTCGACTTTGCAGATATTGCTCAACTTGAGCTGATTAAGTAATGCACTGTGACTATACCTTCCTTTTTATATAATCTTGTCCTTTTCCTGGAGTTAATCACGACTTCATTTTTTTTTTCCATCTTCCTAGTTGTGTAAGAACCCATCACTAATTTATTCCACATGTTCCAACACCTCTACTTTGTGTCCATCAATAACTCCAGTGTAGTTAAATATATTAGTTTCATTTTTGCCCCACTGGAGACCCCGTTTCTGGAGCCTTCTGGAGCTTTCTGGAGCCTTGCTCCCGCCTGGTCTGTACGCTTTCCATGCCTGGGTCTCCCTCCACTGCTGTCTGTGGCTGGTGGGTTTTCTTTCTTGGTTCCTCCTCATTTTGCTGGAGCACATCCTCTGGTGACTCCCTGGGAACAATGTCCTGGAAGTCATCTGAATCCCTGCATTCCTCAAGAGACCCGTCTTTACCCTCAAATAAGAGTTTGGGTACAGAAGTCTGGGCCGAGATCCATTTTTCCATTACAATTTTGAAAGTACTGTTCTACTAGCTTCTAGATTTGCAGAATTGCTCTTGTGGTATCTATTTTGATTACTGATACTTTGGGTATAACCTGTTGTATTGCTTTTAGGATAATTTCCCTCCTGGAGTTCCAGAATTTCACAGTGTGCCTTGGGGGAGTGTTTTTTCCTTTTTACTCAGAGGACTATACACTTGGTGGCTTTGCCATCTGAGGATTCTTGTCCTTTGGATCTGAAATGTGTGTATTTTTTTTCTTTGATAGTTTTTATCTTTTCCACTTTGTTTTCTTTCCTTTTGGACATCCTATTTGTCAAAAATG